AATTCCTGGCTGGGAGGGTGGGCAGGCCCTGGCACAGGTGCCCAAAGCAGCTGTGGCTGCCCCTGCATCCCTGGCAATGCCCAAGGCCAGGCTGGGCAGGGGAAAGTGTCCCTGCCATGGCAGGGGGTGGCATTGAAAGAGATGATTTTTAAGTCGCTTCCAACCCAAAGCATCCCACGATTCCATGATTCTGTAACACACAGACAATCCTCATTTCCCAAACACTCTCCCCAGCCCGAGCTGCTCCAGCAGGGGTAACTCCACCCCGGTGTGCAGCTCCACTCCAGCTGCAGCTCTCAGCCCTGCTGGTGGGTCGTGCTCTCCTCCTGGAAGGAAAAGAACACAGTGGGGCAGGTTTGGATTGCTGTGGAAGCAGGAATGGTGGCAGTGGCTGCCTGACATGGGAGTGATGAGATGTTTCCTCTCTTGGGGCTCTGGGGCTCTGCAGGGGCTGCCTGAGAGAGGGTGACGAGGTTTAAAACATTGAGTTTCACAGGGAACAGCAACTGTGGGGTCAACGTGCCCCCACAGCCACCAATTCTGAGCACAATTCCCATTTCACAGCGACAGGAGAGCACTTCATGCACACCCAGGAGGCCAAAAGGCTCCAGTGACAGTTCTGGTGCCGGGGACACGTTGAGCTGGGCATGCCAAACAGCCACAGCTGGATGTCAACAGCTGGATGTGAGCAGTTCACCAGCTGTGGATGCTGCCTGCCTCGTCCAGGAGATGCAGAAGCCAAGGTGGGAGTTGCAAAGAGCTGCCAGAGGGAGGGTGTCGGAATCTGTGGGTATTGGTGATTCTGAGATTGTAGAAAGTCTCTGTCTGTCAGCCCCGTTGCCAGAGCAGAAGCCATAATTCGTCTGTGCTGGTTTCAAAGTTGTTTATTCTGTTTATCTCTAACATGTTCTGCTGCCCTGCCGCAGCTCTGTCCTGCAGGGCAGCGTGTGGGGCTCTGCCCTCAGTGGGATGGTACAAACATTAAATACCACAAACTACCTGTGCTGGATTTACAATAACGTGCCAATATCTGTCACCTACGTTGGACAGTGTGTCCCCAGCCTGAACCAACAGAAAAATGCCAACACCACAGTGAAACATGGAGGGCATGAAGAAGGAGAAAAAGGACAAGGCACACCCAATTTCCTCCATCTTGTCCCCTCTGAACCCCTAATCTAGAATCCTAAAATTTTACTTCTGCACCCGTGCCATACTTAATTATTACTCATATCAAACACTTGGAGCTTGTAATTCATCCTGTAAGATTGAAAACTCTTTTCCATGGACAGAGATCACAGCCAGTGTCTCTGGGGGCTCTGTCCAGGGGGGTTCCTGACCCCTGCCAGGGTCCCAGGGCAGCCAGAGGGAAGCCCTGGATTCCCACAGGAGGGGACGTGCAGGCAGCTGCTGCTGGGGCTGCACAGAGCTGGGGTGCCCTGCAGGACCTGTGGGGGTGACCCCACACAGCCAGGGCTGCAGCACCGGGCTGGTGTCACCCTCCACACGTGGGATCTCAGCCTGCTGCACTCCTGAAAGCATTATTCAAGCTGTTCTCTGCTCCCTGAACCAGCCATAAAGCTCTGGCACTGTGGTTCATCAACCCCAGCTTTGTGTCCTCGGTGCTTTCAGGTGGCTGTAGCTGCTGAGAAACTGCCCCTCGTTCCTTCTGTGCGTTTTTACCTCCCCATTTTGGAACCCTCTCCCAGAATTTCTCCCTGGGTGATTTTTCCCTGTGTGAAAAGAGGCTGCTGGAAGCACGTGGGTGTTTGGTGAGCAGATGTGCAAAGGCCACAAACCCTTTATTATGGAGGAAACATCCCCAAACCTCTTTCCCTGATCAGGGAAAAGCTTCCCTTCCCTCTCTAGGAAAAGTTGAGGCTGTGGTGAGCAGGAGATAACCGTGAGGAGGAGAGGGAGCAGGGCCTGGGGGATGCACACATGGATGAATCTGGCAGATTCCCACAGATCCTGCAGGCAGCAGCACCAAAAATCAGCTCACACCGGGCAGGGCAGGGCTTCTGTGGCTCTTTCCCTTTTGTGGCTCTGTCCCTTTTGTGGCTTTTTCCCTTTTGTGGCTCTTTCCCTTGTCACAGCAGCCCGGTGTTGGCACAGGGCTGAGGGCACCGCTGGCTCTGATCTGCCCTCAGGAATTCAGGCCTGGCACAGCAGCACAAAGGCATCCCAAACCCCAGAGGCTGGAGACTCGGGGTGTCGAAAATTCGGAGGATTTCCTTCACTCACACCAACTTAATTGCCTAAAGAACACCTGGAGAGAAGGCTGAGTGCTGGTGTAAAGTGTGAGTAGTGACAGCTGCCGTGGCTGGGAACGCTCACTGCATCCTCCAGGAAAATCAGGGGCAGCGGCTGCTTGAACGCAGGGAAGTGACATTTAAAAATGAGCACAACTTTTCCAGCTCCCTGCAGAACTTTGCTGCCCACCAAAGGGACCCAGATCTCCTGCTTTTATTCCTCAAACCTACACAGAAGGAGACTTTTAAGGTGCCCTTTCACCTGCTGGTACCTCACAGTGAGGGAAATCAGGCTCAGAAATAGCCAGGGACTGAGGATTCAAGGGCAAACAAAACGGGAACAGCCACAAAATGGAACAAGTATCAATATTTACTGGGCAGGAAAGAGCACAGGCTGTACTGTCAGCACAACACATCATTTATTCTGTGGCTGCCCAGCCACAGCTCCCTCCGAGGGCTGCATCCCACAGAGGCTTGGGTGCTTTTCCCGTGCTGCTCCCCCAAAAGGAGACTCTGAGAGCTGGGCCTGGAGCAAGCTGGGCTGTGAGAGAGCACCACAGGACACAGCAGGTTTGTGCCCAGGACTCAGCACGTTTCCAGCTTCCCTCCTGTGGGAACCCAGAGCATCCCTCTGGCTGCCCTGGCAGGGCTGGGACCCTGGCAGGGGTCAGGAACCCCCCTGGACAGAGCCCCCAGAGACACTGTCTGTGATCTCTGTCTATGGAAAAGAGTTTTCAGTCTTACAGGATGAATTACCAGCTCTGAGTGTTTGATATAAGTAATAATTAAGTGTGGCATGGGTGCAAAAGTAGAATTTTAGGATTCTAGATAAGGGGTCCAAAGGGGACAAGATGGAGGAAATTGGGTGTGCCTTGTCCTTTTTCTCCTTCTTCATGCCCTCCATGTTTCACTGTGGTGTTGGCATTTTTCTGTTGGTTCAGGCTGGGGACACACTGTCCAACGTAGGTGACAGATATTGGCACGTTATTGTAAATCCAGCACAGGTAGTTTGTGGTATTTAATGTTTGTACCATCCCACTGAGGGCAGAGCCCCACACGCTGCCCTGCAGGACAGAGCTGCGGCAGGGCAGCAGAACATGTTAGAGATAAACAGAATAAACAACCTTGAAACCAGCACAGACCAATTATGGCTTCTGCTTTGGCAATGGGGCAGACAGACAGAGACTTTTTACAGTCTTGGAATCATCAATACCTCAGATTCCAACACCTTCCCTGCTCCTTGCCAGCACTGCTGTGTGGAGAGCCCAGATCTGTGCAGGATCAGTGGGGTTGGAGCTCCCTGCCAGACCTCTGGCTGCTCCTGCCCCGCTCTCCTCCCTGGTGCTGCTGCAGAGACTCAACACAAGTGGGAACTGCTCCTCCAGCTCCCCAAAATCCTGCTGGGAGCACCCCAAAGGCTCGGCCAGGACGGGAACAGGTGTTTGCTCCTTCCTGCAGGATTCCTGGATCCCTTCTCCAACCCCCTGCTCAGGCCAGCACCTCTCCCTGTCAGCCCAACAAAAGTTTTAGCTGCAGGAAGCGCAGATTGTGAGAGCTGGCTGGTTCATGGAATACCCATAATTACATTTGGGGAGATCTGCGGGGTTTTATAGAGGTTCAGACACTCGAAGAAATAAAATAGAAACAGAAGAGTCCTGGCCAACTTCTGTTGGCCTGCAGACGTATTAGGGATTCCAGTGCAAGGAAACCAGGAATGTGAGTATTCCTGTCCAAAACCATCCCGTTAAGGCTATTTTATTTTAATCACAGCTGTGCTAAAAACCACACAGTTCTCTCACACCATCCAATCACCTTCCCTGATAGGACGAAAGCCCATTTTTCCTGACTTTTTATTACAACCATCTTGAAGACAGACATGCCAAGAGCTGGGGGGGGAAGGTTTGAGGTTCCTGCTGCGTTCACACCCCCAAAAATCTGCACAAGATTGTTGGGCAGCTCCACCTCAACCGGTTGTGCTTTAAGCAGAGCAGGTAGGACCTGGCAGGTTTATTTGGAGGAGGGAGAGGGTGTCTGAGGCTGGGGCTGCCATGCTGCCATGCACACATTAATGAACTGCTCTATTCGGGATCAATCGACAGCACCGGTACTTTTATTGACTTTATAATTAGCAGTATCTTACTTTTGCTGGAATAAAGCTGTTTTACCTAATGTAAAATCTATCATTTCCAGCCTGTTATTAGCAGGAGAAGGGCCCAGTTGCTTTGGCCTCGCCGGGAGGGCTCTGACTGTCCCTGTCCTTATCCCGGTCCTTATCCCGGTCCTTATCCCGGTCCTTCCCCCTGCCCATCCCACGGGGACACCTCGGGCTGTCCTGTCGCTGCCCGCGGTGCCGCAGCCGGCCCAAGGGACCCTTCCCAACAATTCCCGACCCTTCCCAACCCATCCCGACCCTTCCCAACCCATCCCGACCCTTCCCAGCCTTTCCCCAGCGGGGGCTCGGGGGCTCGGGGGCTGCGCATCCCCCGCGTCCCGGAGCGGCTCCTCCCGCCGGGATTTCCCGGAGCTTCCCAGCGGCCCGGGAGGAGCGGGAGGAGAATCCCGGAGTGCGGAAGGAAGCGCTGCCAGCCCCGGATCCTCCGGGAACCGCCGGTCGGGAGCGCTCGGTGGGAGCGGGCGCGGTGCGGGATGCGCCGGGCACGGTGCGGGATCCGCCGGGCGCGGTGCGGGATCCGCCGGGCACGGCGAGTCCCGGAGCCCCGATCCCACCCTGGAAAAGATTCCGAGCCGTTCCTCTTTGCTCGCTTTTATTACCTGAGGGAACCTGACAGAACTCGTAAAGACACAATTGCTATGGAGCGCCCACCGGCTCGGCTCCCACAAGGCGAACGTCCCGGTTTGCGCAGCCGAAATTCGGGGAAACTCATAGAAAAGCAGAGGGGAAAAAAAATGTTTTAAATAAAAAAAAAGCTGCGCGCAGGTGAGAGGCGCTTCCTCGTCGTGCTGAGCGCTATCGGCGTGTCGCGACATCTACGGAGCAGAAAGAAACGTGCGGGATCTACAGGAGGTGAGAAGATGGGAAAGAAAAGAGCATCACCGCTGCTGGACACCGACAGTCCCGGCACGGAGCTGGCACCGTCCCCCCTTCAGTCAATAGGCAAAGTGTCTTAAATTCATTACTTGGCACTTATTGAAATTCGTGACGTCGAAAATGGATTAAAAAAGGTGAAGCAAACCTGAGTGAAACAAAATATATTGTACTGACAACAAATGCAATGAGATAACAGCATCTTGCTTTTTTTTTTTTTTTCTCTTTTTTTTTTTCTTTTTTAAATAACTTAAAATACACTAGAAAAAATATGGTCAATATAAATAATTTTGTTTTCATGGAGAACAAATAGATACAAAGCCCGTCCATACCAAAGTTCGCGTAGAAGAGCTTTCCCTCTGTCTTGGCAATAATCATGAGGGTCAGATGGCAAAATCTGGGATAACAATCACTGACTGCAGGGTACCCCAGGTTAAATAGCTATACGTCTCTCAAATAATAATAATAATAACCAAAAAAATCACAAGGTTACGTGAATAGATACACCTTTATGAGATAAAATGTAAATGCTTGACAGTCAACTATCAATTCACAAGTTATAGCCAAAATAAACTTTGTTCGTGTGTATCAACATATTTTACATGTACCCAGTACCTCTTATTGGAATTTGCCGTGGTGTCAAGTGGTGGTTGGGAATTAAATACTTTTTTTTTTTTTTTTTTTTTTTCTTTTTCCTTTTTTTTTTCATTTAGTTTTGCCCTCAGGACGGGAGAGCCCCGGCAAAGAGAGGCAAACTCCGCTCTCCTGACGCTTTCCGCTCCCTTTTATTTCAGAGGTGGGACAGCGAAGGACCAACAAAGACGTGAGAGTGAAAAAGGTAGCGCTTGATCTGCCTCGCTCTGCCTGCTTCCCTCCAAGATTAAAGGAGAAAGAACCCAGCCACGTTTGTTTGTTTGCTTTTGTGGTTGTCTCGGTGTTTTTTTTTTTCTACTAAAGATGAGGGTGAAGTGCAAGTGAATCAAAGGACTCCATCAATGAAATACAAATACATGCAACCCGGAATGCTGCTGGAGGAAGTATCCCGGACAGTTTCCCATTAGAAATTCGCAGAGAAATCATTGTCTTTTTTTTTTTTCCTTTTTTTTTTCTGTTCGTCGTAGTCTTTCTTCTTTTTTTTTTTTTTTTTTTTTCCTTTTTATTTTTTTGTCGCTATTCCAGACGCGGTTGTTAAACTCAAATACCTGATGCAACGTGAAAGGAGGCCCGCCTCTCTTATCAAATTTCTTGTATTAAAGTGAACTTCGCAGAAAAAGGTCAGTTTCAAAACCTGTGAACTTCCCAGCTGCGCGTCCTCTAATTCTTTAAATAAGTATATATCACCCGTCCGTTTCTCCTGTCGTTTTTCCGTTTTTTTTCCTTTTTTTAACTTTTTTTTTCCCAAAAAAAAAAAAAAAGAATAAAGCAAAAATAAAGCAGCAGCAACGCGGTCACAGCCCCAGGGCTGCGGCGTGTTTCTTGGCCTTGAGGCGGAGGTCGGCGATGCTGGAATTCTTGCTGGTGGTCTTGGCGGCGGCGGCGGCGGCCACCACGGAGGCGGCGGAGGCGGACTCGGCCAGGGTGGCCAGCGGGAGGCCGAAGGGGGGAGCGGGGAACATCATGTAAGGGGCGTGGGCCAGGTGAGGGTGCAGGTGATGGTGAGCGTGAGCCACGGCGCTGTCCAGCTGTAACTGCGCCTGAACCTGCGGGTGACAAGCGGAGGGTGGCCGGTGTCACCTCCCACCCACCCGCGCTGTCACCTCGCCACCCACCGGAGCGCCACTTGCCTGTTGGAAGGGCATCCTCAGCGCTCCCACGTTCACGTAAGGAGCCACCCGGCAAGCCTCGAACTGTGTGGCGGCACCGATCAGGACCCCTGAGCACCGGAGAGGACGGTCAGCACCGGGAACCGCCGGTACCCGCTCCCGTACCCACCCCCGTGCCCCGTTACCTTTGTGCAGTTGGTTCTCCTGCTTGCGGCACTTGGCCCGCCGGTTCTGGAACCAAACCTGCGGGAAAATCGGTGGGATGTGGGGTTACACACCCCGAAGGATAATGACAGCGGTGAGAGCGAGAATAAGCGTTAAAAATCACACATACACCCCAAAAAAAACCCCGCGGGTGCTCTCCGCTCCCCCCGCCCCGGCAGCCCCCGCAAAAGGGAAACAGCCCAAAACCCCCCAAAAATGGCCAAGTGCGCCCCAGGGAAATGATTTCCCGAGCCCCGGTTTCTTCTTTCAGCACCACACTCCCAACAGGCTGAAATCGCTCTCCATATCCACCGCTAATGGCCTGAGAAGCTGCTGCTCATTAATAAATAAATTAATTAGCTTTATCTTACAGGAAAACTCAACAACAACGGTTTGTGACTTTTTATCTGCTTTTTCGTGGGGGCTGGAGGAGATTACAGTCCTAAAAAGCTTCGCTACAAAGAAGTTTCGAATTTCTCTGTTCACTGGAGTGTAGCACAGAAGCGGAATAATTATCTCATTATCATAATAATCTAATTTGCCTGCACCGAAGAGGCTGCCCCGTTAGACGAGAACGTACTTTTAATATTGGGAATGGAATCGTTAAAATAAATTCCCAGGCTGAAGTTCTGCTGGCTTTGGGAAAGGAGGGAGGGAAAAGGGGAGAGCCGGTCTTAAAAGATCCCCGTTTTAACCCAGGGCTCTGCAGCGCATCCCAGCAGCCAAGGAATCCTTTCCCCGCGCCAGAAAAAAAATTTAAAAAATATAAAAATTGCATTTTTTTGAGGTCTTACTTTACGAGACGAATATAAACGGGAATTCCTCCCGCCCTGTCATTTTCTCCAGCCAAGGAAAATCTGCCCAAGAGCCACGTTCGCCCTCAGCCTCCCGTGGAAACAAACGCGCCTTCCGTCATTTACAAATTAGAGCAGATACGAGGCGAAATATTATTGAAAAGCGTTTTTTTTTTTTTTTTTTTCCGGGAGGATTTCTAGGGAATGGGTTTAATCTATGTAAATCTCCAAAAGTTATTATGCACCCCGCGATTTGGCATCATGGGAGCGCGGATTATGCGCCGCCGCCGCCTCCTTTGTCGAGCACCTCCCTGCTCCATTTTCCACAGCCAACAACTTTTTGCCTTGGTTTTGTTAGGGTTTGGTGAGCAGAAATTAGAAATAAATTTAAAAACCACGAACAAACACAATTAAAAACCAACCGAGCAGCCAGCAAAAAAACAAAACAAACACAAAACCAACAACAAAACAAAAAAAAAAAACCAAACCCAAAAAACCGAAAATAAAAAAAAAAATGGGGGGGAGAAGAGAGAGAGAAAATGAAAATTTTTATTTTTTTATTTGAATTTTTTTTTTTTTTTTTTGTGGTTCAGGCTCTGACAAAAGCTACTCGTTTTGAGTTTTTGGGTTCCCCGTGCTGCTCTGCCTCTGTGCTCACATCCTTACACGATGCAGGGAAACCCCCCAAGGACCGAGCGCATACTTGGGTGCAGATGGTGCCTGCGAGCACAAAGATTGAGGGGGAGTATCTGTTACAGCGATACTTTCCACCAGCTGCAGATGTTCGGGGCCTAAAACTTCTCCATGTGTTCCAGCAAATAATGACCATCATTTTCTCTTCTTTTCTTTTCAGAACGGAAATACACCGGAGCAGCTACATTTGTTCTCATTTGAGGGATCCCCTTCCTTCCCCGCTCCTCAGCTCATCCCGACAAAACTCGCAGAAAGCAGCCCAAGAACCCGTTTGGAAAAAACTTTGGGAGGGTGCAAAGAGCAGGTTAAACCCCGAGAAGCCGAGGCTTGCTGGGAGGGCAGAAAACTGAAAATATCTCGGGTTAATCCCAGACTTTCTGTATTTCATACACCCGAACAAAGCGCCTCGCTCAATTTTCGTGCCGTTTCAATATTTAATGACTACGAGGCGAAACGGGCTGAAAATACACCTATTATTGTTTCACTTGGCGGGGTTTAATTCAGTTTATGCTGGCGACATCCATGACGGGAATCGGTGTCCATGGATGAGCCGGGCGGCGGCACCGGGAGCGGCTGCCGAGGCGGGGATGGGAAACCGGCGGAGCTGGGGATAAATAAACCACGGCAGAACGAAGGGACGGGGACACAAATCCCGGGCAGGCAAAACCCTTTGCCGGAGGAAGTTGGGAGCTGCCTCCTCTCCCTGCCAGAAGGATGGGGCTCGTCCCCATCATCTCCCCGGTTCTCCCCGAGCTGCCCGTTGCCCCGAGCACCCCACGCAGCCCCGGCTACCTGCACCCTGGCCTCGGAGAGCCCCAGCCGCTGGCTCAGCTCCTCCCGCATGAACGCGTCCGGGTAGTGGGTCTCGTCGAAAAGCCTTTCCAGCTCGTTCAGCTGCTCCAGGGTGAAATTGGTCCGGCTCCTCCTCTGCTTGATTTTCGTCTGCCCTTCGTCTTCCATCGCTTTCGCATCCTCCTTGCGCTCCTTCAGCTCTGGGGACACTGGGCACGACACAGCGGTCAGAGCGGCGGGGCCGGTGGCACCGGGGCTCGCCCCGCTCCCGCCGCTCCCGGGGGCCGGGGGGATGCGGCGGGAGCCCCCAGGGGCCGGGGCAGCGGGAGCGGGGCCTGCGCGCCCGGGCCGCGCTAGGCCGCCTCGGCCGCCGCCGTTCCGGGCTCCGCCGCCGTCTCCGGTAACCGCTGCCGGGGAGAACGGGGTCCGCACCGAGCCCTCCCCTCCGGCCCCGCCGCGCTCCCGGGGGATGCGCAGCAACAGGTCCCCGGAGCCTCCGCCGCCCCCCGGGATCCGCTTCTCCGTGGTTAATTCTCGGCCGGAGACGCGCCCCGGGCCGGAGCGCGGGGCCCGGGCACCGACAGCCCCGGGACCGCCCGGCCCGGTCCCGCCGCGGCTCCCCGCGGCACCGATCGCGCTATTGCAGGCGGCCGGTCAGGGATGCTCCGGGCGCTCCGCCGCTCCGAACAAAAGGGCGGCAGCGAACCGCGGGTCCCCGCGGCCACGGGCACGGGCCCGGCCGCTTCCCGCAGCGCCCGGGAGCGGCACCGGCACCGGCCCCGCGGTACCGCGCGGAACGGCCGCGGGTGGATCTGCTGGGAGCCGCGGGGCTGAGCGTGGGCAGCGCTGCCCGGCCCCACGCGTGTCCGCGGAGCCGCGGGGGAACGAACGGGCCCGCGGGGCCGGGCTTTCGTTGGCGGCGCGGCTTCCCGTGGGATGCCGAACGGGAACAAGATCTCGTTGTGAGCAAGTTAAATCCGGGTTGAAATATTTTAATCTAAAAACTTCGAGGCCGGCCGCCCATCTCCCGCGGCTGGCACAGCCCGGGCAGCCGCCCAGCACCGCCAGCCCGTCCGTCCACCCGCGACCGCGCGTACCGACCCCGGCGGGGAAAGCGGGGGAATGGGAAAGGGAACGGGAGAAGGGGGAGCCCGCGGTGCCGCCGTTACCGTCGCTGAGCTTGGGGGTGGCCGCCTCGGCCGCTCTCTCGGCGGCGGCGTCGGGTTCCCGCTGCGGGGAGCGCCCGGCCGGCCGCGCCGCGGGGCTGCCCGTGTCCTCCCGGCCCGGTTCCGCCGCCGCCCCGCCGGGCTCCCGCGGGCCGCCGCCGCCGCGCAGGGGCCCGCTCTCCAGCACCTCGCGGTAGGTGATGAGCTCCTTCTTCTCCTTGGCTTTGGGATCAAACGACTTGGACACAAACGCCGTCAGCTCCTCCATGGCTCAGGGGCGCGCTGCCCCGGCTCCCCGGGCGGGCATCCACGGGGCGGGGAGGCGGCGGCGCCCCGGGCCGTGCCGAGCCGGGCCGGGCCGCGCCGCCCGACGTGCAGGGCTCCCGGGGTCTGATAGCGACGCCGCGATTGAAGTGGCACTATTTATACTTTGCAAAGCCGGCCCCTTGTTCCCGGCGAATTACCTCCCCTCGGAGCTCTGAATGGAGCTCTGAATGGACCCCTTCCTTCCTCCCGTCCTTCCTCCCGTCCTCTCCGGTAACCCGCCCGCCGCGGGGCACTGCGGCCACGGCACCGCCCGCCCGCCGCGCGGTGCGCCTTAATTAATTTAATTAAGCGCGGGGACCGTGCGCCAGGTCCCGGGCGAGCGCGGCGCGGAGAGGGGCCGGGGCGGCGGGGGAGTGGCCACCGGGACGCGCGGGGGGAGCGGCGGGGACGCGCAGGCTCCGCGCACCGCCCCGCGTGGGTCGGGTCAGCCCCGCAGCCACGGGCACGGCCCCGCGGGAGCCGCAAAAGTTCCTCCGTGGGCGCCCCAAGGCCCCGAATAACCGAGGGGATCGGTGCCAGCGAGGGACGCGGCCGCGACAGGAGCGGGAGCGCAGAGAGGCATCAGATTAGAGCCAAAAGCGCCAATATCGCCGATATTGTTTCCCTTTGTGCTTCCCGGTCCCACCGCGGGGCACTTCCACCGGCGGAACTCGCCTCTTTCCACCTTCGCTAAATTCTAATCAATTATTCAGAATTGTTTAACTCTTGCCTGCGTATCGATTTTTCATTGACCTTTGGGGTGATGATGCGCATAACGGAGCGTTCATTTACCGGGGCAGCTTCGGTACCCGGAGTGCCATCGGGATTTATTCCGGGCCGGTCACTCGCGACCCTGTCGCGACAGGCAGCGACAGCGACAGCGGTGCCGCCGCCCGGGAGCCGCTCCCGCGGGGCGCGTTCGATCCCCGGGGCACCGGGCACCGGTGGGATTCGGTGTGACCGACCCCGCCGCGGCTGCCGACCGCCCGGGCGGCCCTCACCGGCCCCTCCGCCCTGACATTTCGTTTATCCCCACGCGTGGCGGGGCACAGCGCGCTCGGGAGCTCGCGTTGAACGAACCGGATTCGGTAGGAAAATCGAACGAAGCGAAGCGGTTCGATCGTTCTGTTGTGTTTCTGCTCGTTGCCCCGCGGAGGCTCCGCCCGGCCCGGTGGGTCCCGGCTCGGTCCGTGCCCACCCGCGCCCGGCGCGCTCCGTCCCGCGGGCACGGCCTCGGTGTCCACGCCGCGCGTGAAGCGCTGCCCTCCGCCCGCGGGGGCGGCTCTCGGTGCTATAAAACCCCGATCCTCCTTTCACTCTCCGGGACGGAACGAAAACCGCTCCGTCCCGCTGTCCCCGCGCGGTCCCGGTCACCCGCGGCTGGACACGGGGCGGCCGGGACACGCCGGGGTCGCCGCGTTGGTGGCCGTGTCGGGCACAGTGCGGACAGAGCTCCGTGGACTCTGCACCCCCCGTGGGACCACCCACGCTCCCCTCCTGCCCGTCACCCGCGGCGTGTCAAGCCGTGCACGTGGGTCGCCGCGTTGTTGGCCCTGTCGGGAGAGCAGACAGCGCTCCGTGGGCTGTGCACCGCCGTGGGCAGCGGAATCCCGGCCAGACCCCCCCCGACCCCCCCCGACCCCCGCCCGTCCCGCGTGGGCGCTCGCCGCATCGATGTCTCGGCGCTCGCTGTGCCCGCCTGGCCGCGCTCGGCGGTGGATTGGCGCTGCCTGCCCGCCGCCCCGGAAGGCGCTGCGCTCGAACCGGGGCCGCGGCGGCTCCGGCAGGTACCGGGACAGGGGGACACGGGGGACACGGGGGGACACGGGGACAGGGGGGGGACACAGGGACACGGCACAGCGACCGGCGGCCGCTGCAGCGCCGGGTGTGCGCGGCGGCCGCGCGGCCTCCGGTGCTGGCGGAGCGCGGGCACGGCCCCGGCGGAGCCGCACCGGGATCCCGGAGGAGCCGCACCGGGATCCCGGAGGAGCCGCGCTGCGCGGGTTTGGAGTCCCTGACCCCGCTGCTGGGCGGGTGGTGGCGGTGAGCGAGCTCCGGGAGCCCCGGGGATGGCGGTGCTCAGGGCCCGGCCCTGCTGCGGGATGCGGGGACAGCACCGGGATCGTCCCGGTCCAGAACGGGCCGGGCTGCGGGGGGATGTTCCCTGGAGCCCCGCGGCTCCGGCAGTGCTCGGGAGGAGCTTCTGTGTTCTTAAAGGTGAATTTTGCTTTGCTCCAGGCGCTCCCCGCTGGATCAGGAGGTGCTGCCCCGGTGGCCAAAGGTGCGAGGACGGGAGAAGGTTTGGATGGAGGAACCGGGAGAGATGGAGCCGTTTGTGCCGGGAGGAGGAGGAACAGAGAAGGGATCGGAGCTGGGAAGGGAATGGAGCCCCAGGAGAGGCTGAGGGAGCTGGGAAGGGAATGGAATGGAGCCCCAGGAGGGGCTGAGGGAGCTGGGAAGGGTTTGGAGCACCAGGAGGGGAATGGAGCTGGGAAGGGTTTGGAGTCCCAGGAGGAGAACGAAGCTGGGAAAGGAATGGAGCCCCAGGAGGGGCTGAGGGAGCTGGGAAGGGAATGGAATGGAGCCCCAGGAGGGTCTGAGGGAGCTGGGAAGGGAATGGAGCCCCAGGAGGGGAAAGGAGCTGGGAAGGGAATGGAGCCCCAGGAAGGACTGAGGGAGCTGCAAATGGCTCAGCCTGGAGAAAAGGGGGATCAGGGGAAACCCTGTGGCTCTGCACAGCTCCTGCCAGGAGGGAACAGCTGAGGGGTCGGGCTGTGCTCCCAGGAAACAGGGCCAGGAGGAGAGGGAACGGTGTATTTTGATTTTCTGTAACTACAAAGCAGCACAGGGCAGCCCGTGTCACACAGGGCGTGTCTGGGTTCTGTGCAGGTCGGAGATGGGCCGGCGCTCCTCGGACACGGAGGAGGAGGGCAGGAGCAGGAGGAAGAAGAAGCACCGGCGGCGCTCCTCCTCCAGCAGCTCCTCGGACAGCCGCGCCCACAGCCGCAAAAAGTCGGGCAGGAAATCCAGGTCCAGGTCGCGCTCTCGGGATCTCCCGTCCTGGTCCCATTCCTATGAGAAAAGGTGCATTTGTAGGAGTTCTTGGATGCTGAGCTCGTTCCAGCAGGGAGCTGGAAGGGTTTGGAGCCCGTGGGTTGGGATTTTAAGACACAGGTTGTTCTGAGCCGTAAGAGATGTGAATCTGTTTTCACTGTGTCAGAGTAAAACCCCAAACCCACCACCATGACCAGAAGTACCCACAGCTCCTTCCCCCCAGGAGAACAGAGCAGGAAATGTGCAGATCCAAAGGGAACTTCTGCTTTAAACCAGGGAAACCCCAGGAGGTGAAATAACTCTTCTTTTCTTCTCCCAGCTGGGACAGTTTCTCTGCCTCAGGGTGTTCCAAGCTCATCCAGCCTTGGCCTTGGGCACTGCCAGGGATCCAGGGGCAGCCACAGCTGCTCTGGAATTCCAGCCCAGACAGGATTTCCTTCCCAATCTCCCATCCATCCCTGCCCTCTGGCACTGGGAACCATTCCCTGGGTCCTGTCCCAGTCAGGAATTCCCAGTTCTCAATCTCCCATCCATCCCTGCCCTCTGGCACTGGGAGCCATTCCCTGTGTCCTGTCCCTCCATCCTTGTCCCCAGCCCCTCTCCAGCTCTCCTGGAGCCCCTCCAGGTCCTGGCAGGGCTCTGAGCTCTCCCTGGAGCCCCCTCCAGGCCCTGGCAGGGCTCTGAGCTCTCCCTGGAGCCCCTCCAGGTCCTGGCAGGGCTCTCAGCTCTCCCTGGAGCCCCTCCAGGTCCTGGCAGGACTCTGAGCTCTCCCTGGAGCTTCTCCTCTCCAGGTGAGCCCCCCCAGCTCTCCCAGCCTGGCTCCAGAGAGGCTCCAGCCCTGCAGCATTTCTGTGCCTCCATCCTGGACGTCTCAGCCTGGCTGGTGCTGGTGAATTTACTGGGAGGTGGAGCTGGAGAACTCTCCTGGTGTCCAGCTGCCCTGGGAATCCAGGAGGAAATCTCCTGCCACGCCTTTCTGGAGTGGCTGCAGGGTGTGCTGAGGACCTCAGGGGTTCATTCCCAGCCCTTTGTCCTGCTCCTGCTGGGATCTGCACCCTGCCCAGGGCTCTGGGGCCAGCCCTGAGCCCCGTGGATCCAGCACAGCTCCAGGGAAGCCACAGGGACCCCAGGGCACCCAGGAGTGCCCCAGGCTCTGCTTTTGGGCTCCTGCCTTTTTCCTTGGGGCAGCTCAGGCCCTGCTCCCTGCTGGGCTTGTCCCTGACCCTCAGCAATCAAAGGCAGCAGTTGCTGGAATTCCTGACCCTCATCCAGCAGGAGCATCACATTCCCTGTTCTTCAGCATTAACCTCTGTGTCCTGTCCAGCATTCAGCCCCTGCAGCCCCATTCCCTCATGCTGGAGAATCACTGAGCACATCCTCAATTCCATTTTTGTTTGTATTTTATATATGCAATTTGGATAATATATAATATAATATAATATAATATAATATAATATAATATAATATAATATAATATAATATAATATAATATAATATAATATAATATAATATAATATAATATAATATAATATAATATAATATAATATAATATAATATAATATAATATAATATAATATAATATAATATAACATAATATAATATAACATAATATAATATAATATGTAACATAACAATATAATACAATAACATAATAATATAACATCATATAGCATATACAATAATGTAACATAATGTAATCTATAATATAATATAACAATACAATAATATAATGTAATATAACATAATATAACATAATATAACATAATATAATATAATATAACATAATATAATATAATATAATATAATATAATATAATATAATATAATATAATATAATATAATATAATATAATATAATATAATATAATATAATATAATATAATATAATATAATATAATATAATATAATATAATATAATATAATATAATATAATATAATATAATATAAAATATATTTTAATATCAATTCCATGTAAAGGCCAAAAATAGGGAGGATTGTAATTTTTAATCAGTTGACTGTTGGGAGATGGGGAGGAAGTGTTAAGATTTGGATTTTATTTGGATTTTGGCATTAATATCTTTTCTTTCACCTTTCTATTTGGTGTAGAAGAATTTATTCTTTGAATAGACCAAACTGGGAGGGATAGGAAAATGAAGAGACCCTTTTGATTCCTGATTGGACTCAGGAGGGAACTGCCCTTAAATGAACTCAAATGAAAGAAATTAACACTGAGTAACTGATTACTACTAATAGTAGTTAAGGACCCCTCCTAAACTTTTTTTTTTTTGTCTGGGATGTGAATTTTGGAGGATCAGCTCTTTAGGGCAGCATGTCCCTGTGTATGTGAGTTACTTGTTCTGGGGGAATAGTGGGATTTGGGGCTTCTGGAGCACCCCCAAGTCTGTGCATGTTTCTCAGGAATCCCTGGGGGTTTTATCCTGCTTTTTGGGGGTTTTGGGCAGTGCCAGCCTCACCCCAGGCTCTGTTTTCTTAGGAATTGTTTGGGTAGCAATGCCGTGCTCCCCTTGGCTGTGTTTTCTGAGGGATCCTTGGGGTTTTGTTGCCGTTTTTGGGGTTTTTGGGCAGCTCAGCCTCACCCCTGCTCTGTTGCAGGCGCAGACACAGATCCAGCAGCAGCTCTTCCTACGGCTCCAGGAGGAAGCGCAGCCGCTCCAGGGGCAGAGGCAAATCCTACAGGTCCCAAAGGTCCAGGTCAAAGAGCAGAACCAGGAGGTAAGAGTCTCCCCTAGGGAAAAAAAAAAAAAAAAAAAAAAAAAAAAAAAAAACCCAAAACAAACCCAAAAAACAATGGTGTTTTACTGGAAAAACATTCCTGGAAGATCCTGCTGTAATTACTGAGCTTGGCATAAAACGGCTGCAGGTGATGGTTTAAACACACATCCCTGGAAATTCCTAATTTGGAATTATTCTGGAGTGCTTGCCACACACTAAGTCTTTGAGTTACCCCAGTGAAACAGTTTTACTTATCCAGATAAGATATTTATTTTGCATTCGATTCAAGCAAAAAAAACCAAAAACATAAATAGGGGCTCTTGGTGTCATACAATTATTTGAAAATGTCTCATGGATTTTTTTTCCTTGGTTCCTGCTTTTCATGATTCCCACACATAACATTGGCTCCCTGGAGTTCAGAATAAACTGATTTTCTCACCTGTGTTCCTCTTGGAAAAGGATGAGTCTTTAGTTATGCAATCTTTTATTAATACTTAAGGATGTCTGCAGTGAAAGTTTGCATACTTTGGTTTGTGACAAACAAATCTTTCACAATTGAAATATTTAAATCTTAACCAGAAGTTTATAATACCAAAAGGTATTATAAAGTCTGCTTTTCTTCTTTAATTAAAAGATGCTCAGCTTGTGTTTGTGTGTATTTTTCAATTAAGATATGTAACGGAAATTTATCCTGGATACCAGGCTTCCCATTAGCATTTTCTATTGATTTTAAATTAATTATTGAGTGGATCAGGCAGATCAAAGCTGTCTGGGTACATATTGAAAATCTTCAGCCAGGTGATTTTGTGAGCCTGCACTAAGAATTTGTTAAACCTTTGGTTTCCATGTCCAAACCAGGAGAGCTGTTGCCTCTAAATGTTGAAAAATTGTTGTTGAAAGATGTGAATATTCCCCTTTCTCTTCTCTGTGCTGTGCCATGACTTTTTCCCAGCTGTTCATTGTTGAGTTGCTTGGGCCCTTTATTGCTGCAGTGCCTTTGTAGTAGAAATTTGATTATTTAGAGTTGGAAATAAATTTAGAAATTAAACTGCCTGACCTCTCTTGGAGTATCCTCTCCATTAGAGCTGTGCAGGTATTCCTGTGAGTGTCCACTTTTTTTGCTAAGAAAATCAGTTTGAACCCACAGAAATGTCAGAAGAACGAGGTGAAAGGGAAGGGTTTTCACATACTCAGTGTTAGGAAGTGTGATAAACTGATTTAAAATGTTTTTTTATTATAATAAACCAATCTATAATAAATTACAGACCTCATTAGCTGTAGTTTAATGGCCATAAAATAATATATAATAAATATAAATTGCAGCTCTCACTAGCTGTGGTTTAGTGATCATCTTTTCCACGGGATTTGATTTTAATCATGGTTACAATATATGGAAATTAGGTGCCTAAAAACTTGAAAAACCTGGCTACTCCTAGAAAATGCATTAAATACTTGATGTGTCAGGTGTTTTATATCTCAGGTATTTTATGTATTCAATATTGGATGTATCAAACATTTCAAGTATTGAGTGTGCAGCACTAGGGGAGTAAAGCTGCACATTCCTTTAAGTGTTGGTCCTGTTCACCCCCACAGAGGGAAAATATGGATAGATAACATCCCAAATGATCCCACAAGAGCCCAAAAGCTTCAAGTTAAACCCAACAGGACACATTCCATCCTTTATTGTCATTTTTCCCCAGTCTGCTGTGGTGTGGCACTGAGCAGCTCTGCATTAATCTGATTTTGGGGAGTTAAATCTTGGTTCAGCACAAAGCTGCTACTCCAGGCCTGTGCTTGCCCTGCTTGTCAGTGCTGAGCTCTTGCAGTGATGCCAAATAATCCCTTTTCTGCCTCAAAATCACTCAACACGGGGTCAGCAGCTTTCCAGGGAGTTTGGGATTCCTCAGGCTGGAAAAGAGATTGTGGGGGAGAGAGGGAAAGTGATGGAGGGGTAGGAAAAATAAACTTACAAATAAAAATGGTGGGAAAAGGTGGTTCAGGAGTGAGGGTTCCCCATCTCTGCCCATGCACCCCCTGGGGCAGGTGTGACAATGTTTGTCCTGGAAAATGTCTGTATTTATAGTGCTGGCATGGAATTCTCGTGAATTCCAGCTGTAATTCCCAACTTTTTATTTTGTTCAGAGCGGGGCAACTTATTTTCCCGTGGTTTTTCCAGGTAAATCCTCAAGAAACCACTTATAAATAATTAATAAAATGATCCAGAGGAGCTCAGGCAGCCCCTGGTGTTCCTGTGGGGAGGAATGGATTATCCAGGGGAATATTCCTGAGCATCTCCAACTTCTGCAGTGCCAGGGAGGGAGGAAAAGCTGCTGCCCCACCTGGAAAGGGGAGACCAGCCCTGGGTTTGTACCCTCCTGCTGCACCCTCAGAGCATTATCCCCTTTAGGAGCCCAGCAAACGCTATTTGTAAATTTTATTTTATTTATTAGGAGTTTGCCTTTCGAAAATTACCTTCCTGTAGGAAGTTAAGGTCTGTTACATGGTGTCTTTAAATTGTTTTTGGTATCAATCATGCAGGTGGCACATATTCTGTACCCTGTATCATCTTTTCTCCCCACAATCCTCTTTTAATTTGTTTTTCAAGGTAGTGAAGGTGGTGTTAAACGTAATGTGTTTTTTTAGTAACTCCTCTAACACAGGTGTTTTATTTGAGCAGGTGATTTACAGATCTCCAGCAGTGCAAAACACTGAGATAGATCAAGTTTTACTTTGAAAAGTTGGATTTTTATAATGACATCTGCAAGATATTTTAAATATTGGTTGTTTGTAACCTAAACTGATTTATTGTACTTTATTGGAGGAGATAAGAAAACTTGTGCATATTTGATTATTTTATTTTAGTTGCATTTTTAGGGTGAAAAAGGTGGGACTTCCCAGTATTGTTTGTACTTTTTTTTTTTGAGACTATAACTTGTGCATATTATGATTATCCTATTTTAGATGCATTTTTTTAGAGTTAAAAAAGTAGAGCTTCCCAGTAATAGTTGTGTTTTATTTGAGAAGCTGAAGAAACTTGTGCATGTGTTGCCTATTTTATTTTAGATGCAGTTTTTAGGGTGAAAGAAGTGGAGCTTCTCAGTAGTGCTTGTGTTTGATTTGAGAAGATAAGAAAACTTGTGCATATTATAATTATTCCATTTTAGATGCATTTTTAAAGTCAAAAAAGTGGAGCTTCCCAGTAATGCTATAAATTCCAAGCTGTCCTCCAGTGAGGGAGTACAATGCAAATACGACTTAATAAGATCACAAACTGAATTTCAGCAGAAACAACCAAGATTTACATTAAATTAGGAATTTTAAAACCGATTTAGTTTGTTTTACTGAGCATTTGCTTAATAACATTTCGCCTCCTCACAATCTTTTTAAAGCCAATAATTCGTCTGCGAAGCGCAGGCACATCCTCCTGTGGAAAAATTGGAAGCAACAGCTCCCTCTCTGCAGCCACGCATGCAGAGCTGGGAAGGAATATTTCAGCTGCACAGAATTTAATAAATCATCCCATTTCCTAATTTGATCATATTAGATGCTGATGTGGAAGGAGCATTTCAAATAGCAGCTCCTCATTAATATACATCAGGCTGGGGAATAGCAGGGAATACTTATGGAGGGATGTCACAGTTCCTGTTCCTTAGTTTACTAAGTGGAACAGGTTGATGTGATCCTGGGTGTTATTTGTCACTGTCTTGCTAAAATGGTTTGGGTCGAGTTATGGAGTCCGGGAAGACGGCGGCTGATAAATCAAAAGTGGATTGAGTGGACAGCAGGCAGTGATTGATACCGTGACAGGATATGAAGAAAGGAATCTTGATAGGAGCATGCCCAATATTGAATATGAGAAGGAAAATGGCCCTGGAGTATGGATATTATTCAAGGAAATGAGAATAATAATATCATCTTGAAATTATTGCTGGGTGAAGATTAGGAGAGTTCTTATTAGAATATTCTGCCGCTGCAGCGTGTGGGAGCTCGGCTCCTGCAGGATTCTGGGCTGGATGGAGCCCTGGGAATATTGGGAGAGCTTCCACTGCGATTGTTCTGCCAGTTAATCACATCCAAAATACTCTGCAGCAGAACTTGCAGCACAAATCTTCTAATTCACGGAGCTTTAAACAGAATTAACCAAAAAATGTTGACCTTTATTCCCCGATTTCAGCCAATCCTGGAACTGCCTGTGAATATGCAAGTTTGCTTTATTGTCTGCCAAATGTCTTTGGCTTTTCCCATTATGTTAAACTGCAAACTGCTGCCTTGAAATATCTTTAATGCACTTCAACTTAAAAATCAAGACAAAACCAGCAAGTGCATCAATACATATTGAAGAAAAAAGAAAGATGATGTGGGAAATAATCCTGCCTGGGGAGCTGATCCTCGGCAGTGTGGCTGAAGAAGGTGTTGGATCAGGTTTTACATCTTATTTCCTTACCATTCCTCCAGTCTAATTAATTTCACGTGTCAGGGTGTGGAGGTTGTTGCATCCAGGGGCAGGGGAGCTGCTGCTCAGGGCTGCCTTTGGAAGAGGTTTGGGTTTGGGGATGCAAAAGCAGCTGCCGTTATCCCAGCAGTGTGAACTGAATTAACCTGGCTTCAGCCCTCCCAGCCTGGCAGAGTTCTTTGTGTTCAGCACTTAATTTGTGCAGTTTAAAACCAGACTCCTCAAGTGCAGTGTGAAAAGAGTCATTAAATAACTGATGGTAAAACCCCACTGATTATGGTTTTTTGGGGTCTTGGGGAATTTTCCTTTTTAGTCCCTTCCTAAAAAAATTGCTGTTATATATTTTATTGAGGGGTTGATACTGCACAGTTTGTAAGACTTTTTAAAGATAATATCACGGAATGCTTTTGTATTTGTGTTACTGGTACCTGTCTTCAGTGCATCTCCTGTTTTTCATGCAGTTATTTTAGTGTGAGATTAAAGTGCTGGAGTCTTTCCACATTAAAACCTGGCCTATCAGACCTCACAGCTGATAAGAACTAGTGGA